TGTGGTTTTTTCATTCATTCATCACACTTTGTACATTAAGGATATTATATCGATCTTGATAAGTTAAAGTTTGAACCAATTGAAAATAAACGTGTACAGATCACCTTCACGTAATTTTTCATGCTACATATTTCATGATGAATTCCTGTCATTTGGTTATGTCAGGATGAATAATCATTGTTGGTTTTAGTTGCGATGATGCAATGAAAAACTGATTTGGTTCTATATCTTGATATGATTAATAGACAAGACTTTTGAAGTATGTTAAAGGAATATAATGACAATTTTGAACTCATAAAGTCTAACACATTTGTAAGGTTGTAAGGACATATATATTTGTGACCAGTGGGAGATTATTGGCAAAATTTGGGTCATGTATATATATGATACATAATTTAAATGTGTTAGGGTCATTATTTATTAAGTCAAATAATAAAGTGATCTGACTAAATTAAAAAGTTTGGCTAAAGGCATATGTCATGAAAATAAAATTGTGTAGAGACCATATAGCAATTTCTAATTTGATGAGGGGTCAAATTAGAAATACTAAAACTTAAGTAATTAACCTAATTCTGGTTATTTTAAGAGGTCATGATCCCCTTCTGGGAGCACGTAGACAGAACATAAGTTTAACTCCCGTTCCTTTCTTTCTATCCCCATCAAGAGAGAAAATCAAGAGGGAAATACAAGTGCTCTTCAGGTGGAAGACCATAAGATCAATATAGTGTTCTACAAAGACATCATCATTATGGTTAATTCAAGTATGCTTTCGCATTCAGTTTGTAGCATGTTTATTAATATAAAATTATATTTATATTTGATCATTAAAATCAAAATCAGAATTATAATTATTAATTTTCCAATTATGTATTCATCATAATATATTGATGATAAACCTAAGGCAACCCTGCATCTTATACACTTCCTCTCTCTTTCTGAATCATCACCTTTCTTTCTTCCTCTTCTTTAATTGATTATATTTCTTGTTAGGAATCCCACTTCTTTGCCTACAAACTAAGCTAACAATATTCTGTGCTAATCACCAAATTCTTTCCGCATGCATCAGATGCTGCACTTTACTTCTTTAATAATAAGGAACAATCACTAAGGTTGGTCTATGAACAGATTTGATTCATATTGTGAGATTTTCTTTTGCTCAGTCCAAGTAATTAATTATTACACTAATTTTATTTAAATTCACAAATACATTTAATTATAAATAACTATGCATAGTAACATTGTTAATTTTTTAAATAATTAGTTGAAAAATCCGACCTAAGTTTTTTTAATTGATTGATATATAGTGCAAGAATATTTATAAATGCTGTATAAAAAATCAATTTTTATTACAAAAGTCATTAATCTTGGCATATATAGCAATTTATGATTAGATAATAATCTAAAGTACTTATTTTATTTTTTTAATATTTTTTATATACATTATTAATTAAATATTTTTTAGCTACAAATTAAATATAAGTAAATTTAAATATATGTTATTTTTCTTAAAAATTATATATGATGAATTATTAGATTTTTTAATTTAATAATTTAATTGATTCAGCAATAAATAATCGCCGAAAAAACATGATTTATGATAGTGAAGATTTAAGTGTTTTTTTACAATAAAACCCTTACATGACATGCATAGGAAGAGTTGATGGACTTATTTGCCATCTAATTGACTTTATATAATGGAAGTTGATAATAATTGTTGTCAAATTGAATGAGTCAATAAATTTTAGATTTAGACTAGTTTTAAATATAATGAATTTGTTTTGTAATTTAAGTAAGTTTATGATTAACTTTGCTAATTTACAATTTACTATAAAGCATAAATACATGATATTGTTTATAATAATCTCAAGGCCAAGAAAATTAAAACGGAACATATATATATATATATATATATATATATATATATATATATATATATATATATAATTGAATTGTTTGATGAGTTTACATGAAGCTTTTATGATGATTTTCTTTTACATTTAGAACCGATGTGAAATATACTAAATCCAACATTGATTCTTTTACCACTTATATGTTGATTTTCTTAATTTTTAATTACACTTCTTTCAATGACATATATGATATAAAACAATACTAAGTATTGTTATTGTACCAGTATTATCATAATTGAAGAAACTTTTAATGTTAAAAGAGAATGAAAATTCACTAACTTTTTTAATTAGTATTGAAATTAATGAAAGAGTAAAGAATATTGATGTTAGAGTATAAAAATGTCACAGTCATTCTTTTCAAATTTTAAGAGTTTCGTGTGTATATATATATATAATTTGAAACTAATCACTACAATAAGTCTAATAATTGTTATATATTGATGTCATAATCATTACTTGTTTTATTTGTAGAATCTTGCCCAAAAGGATTAGATATACTATAACTCGACTGACTTCATTTTTCAATTTTATTTGTAGTAAATTAATTTTCTAACAAAATTTGGATGCATTGGAAGAAAACATTTGTTGTTATTATTTTTTATTTGGAGTTTTTTTTTCTCTATCAATTTTTTTTACTTTATGGTGCATTTACTTGGACATTTAGTTAGATAAAAAAATTTGTTGATTTAGTTTATCTAATATATATATATATATATATATATATATATATATATAGTTTAACATTATATAAATATTCTAAAAGGGTATGCGAAGAATGAGAATCCTTTAAAATTATTTATTATCAAGAGATACATTATATAAAAAAAAAAGTCATTGAGAAGTACATACCAAATATAAATTATATAGGACTTTCAATCAAGTCTTAACACAATAAAAATCTATAAATAAATATTCACGAGGTCTTCATATAATAAGAAAATTCCTTTAAACACATTTTGCATATTGAATCACTCTTTACTTATTTACTCATAAAGTGATATTGTTAAAAAAAATAACCCCAAGAAAATTGGGTGTGAAGATAATATAAGAAGATATTTCATAAAATGGTTTAAAAGTAAAATTATGAAAGATGCTAGTATTTAAATTACAAAAGAAGAAGAAAAATGTTTAAAAGTAACATAAATTGCAAAACCTTCAGTTCATATAAACATTTAAAAAAAATACCCTAAGCTAATTAAGTTGTCCTTAGTTGAAGTTATAAATATTTTTTATATAAAAAAAAACAGGTAAAATAGATCAAAATCAGCGTTGCAAAATATGCTATAAATCTAATTTTAATGGTTTGATAACCTCAATAATTATGTATCCCATATATATATATATATATATATATATATATATATTAATCTCAAATTATCATAAATTTGATTCATGATTGAATTTCATCATTCAAATATATGTTTTTAAATAATGCCTTAAGTAGAAGTCTCACATTGAAAAAAAAATATGAGTAATTTATAAATAAGAATAATTTATAACCTAATACTTTAATGTTTTGAGTTAAAAATGATATCATATTTCTTTATATGATTAATTTATATTTCATTTATAAGAATCTCTTTATTATTAGTTCTCAAAAATACATATATAATTTTTTTAAGTAAAAAACAAAAATATTTGTTAAGTTGTATTGATTTGATATACAAACTTTTTCCAATATTAATTAATTAAAATTTAACCTAAATTATTTGATACCTTTGGATATATGTTTGTTTAAATGTATGAATATGAATTTGTTATATACATGCTTCTCACTACACAAAAAATATATGTAGTATCAATGGATATTGATTTATTCATCCAAATATGTTCCAGTTTTTGTGAAATTTCTATTGCTGAGAATGATGTTGTGATTTTATATGCTCCAATTCAACGAATTCATATTCTACATGTCGGAGTTGTTCATCAACTTAGAAGTTAAAGTAATCGTGTTTTATTTCAGCTATGATATTTTGTGTTTATTTCTATTCATCGGTAATTTTCATTTTAGAATTTCCTTCTAATTTTTAAAAAGAAAGTTACACTTCTACATATTTTTTAACTCAAATATTCATCCAATAATCCATTTTATAATAATAATAATAATAATAATTCAATTTTTTATGTTTATCATTATCATTATTATATTATTAAAAAAGTTATATATATATATATATATATATATATATATATATATATTGCTTTTTTTCTTAATTTAGTGGGATTCATTCGTTTGAAAAATGAATAAGGTTAGATTAATTTATGTGGATCGGATTGGATTAGTCCAATAATTGAAATAGATAGATCAAACGTTAAGATCAATCAACAATAATAAAATAAATATAAAAGAGTTTGAAAATTAAAGAAAATTTGTAAATAATTTTTTTGGATATTTATATAATAAGGATAAAATGAAGTAATGATAAGTGAATTAAATATCTATTATTTATTTCAATTATTATACTTTAAAGATATAAAATAATAATTCATATTAATTATTAAATTAAAAAATATATAAAAGTAAAGAATAAAATTTTAATTATTATTTTTGAAATAATAGATCCTTCTCTCTCTCTCTCTCTCTCTCTCTCTCTCTCTATATATATATATATATATATATATATATATATATATATATATATATATATATATATATATATATATTAACATGAGATGGTATGAGATGATAATGATAAAATAAAGATAAAGGTAAAGAATTAAAACAAGCTTTAGAAAGGGAAAATGTGTAAGAAGAAAAGAGAAGGTTTTATTCCTCTTGATAAGAGAGAAACACTGATTCATAATAATTTATAACATATTAAGATTGTATAGCTAAATATACAGAGTTATTGATGATGACATTGACAACAAAGATGGACAGAAATAACAACAACGGGAGGGCCAGAGAAGTAGTAGTTATTCTCTGTGTCTGTAGACCTTACAGTGGTTGCGGTAGAGACACACTTTTGGATGGAGTGATCCGAATAGTTAGCGCTACTGCATGCAGAAGAACGTAGGTTCAAAGTTTCTGAATGAACCACGCTCTGAAGCGTTGCACCAGATAAATTCTGGTTGGGGTTGAAACTATTAATGGTTGCACCAGAGAAGCTTTGTTTCCCATTGACTCCGTTGTTAAACGAGTCGTGTGTATCTGGAGTTTTGTTGTGTGATGACACATACTTGCTTAGAGTGTTATTGCTTTTTCTTCATGTGCAGACACAGTCTTAGCCTTATGTTCTGCATAATACTCAAACTCAAGAGAGTCATAACGGTCTAACGCTCTAAACCTCTGACCAGGCATCATGTGTAACGGGCGAACCATCCTCCAAATCAACAACTGCCACCACTTGTTTCCTACACACAGTATTCTAATTCATATGCTGCTTTCTAAACCACTGTAATGCAACACTGCTTCTTATACACTTCCTCTCTCTTTCTGAACCACCATATCTCCTTCCTCTTCTTCTTTAATTCATAATATCTTCTATTAATTAGGGCAACGTGTATTTTATAGAGATCTAGGGAATCCCACTTCTTTGCCTACAAACTAAGCTAACAATATTTTATGCTCATCACCACCTTCTTTCCACATGCATAGATGCTGCACTTTACTTATTATCTATTCAAAAGACAAAAAAAAGAGGATAAATTTAATTACACTAAAAATACGAATAAAAGTTTGTTATTTATTGATCATTTAATTATTTAAAATATTAATTTATTTTAATCATTAAATTATAAAAAAGTACGATCAGAATAAAAAGTAATTTTTTAAATAGGGTTTAGGGATAGATAAATCTCTTCTTCTGTATAAATAAGAAAATATGAAGTGAGTTAATTAATATTCCATGTCAAATCCTATTACTGGAATTTATGAAACTTGTGAAATCGAATTTAAGAAGTGAATTTTCAATTTAAAGAAATTTGCTGTGTTTATAACTAGAAATTGTGTAGAAATGGTTTTTGAAGTAATTGACTCTTACACTAATTTCATTTAAATTCACAAATAGCATAATTGTTATACTGTTACTTAATTATAAATAATCATGTGTAGTGTGACATTGTTAATTTTTTAAATAATTAGTTGAAAACCTAGTTTTTTTAAATTGATTGATAAGGCAAGAATATTTATAGATGGTGCATGAAAAAAATCATTTTTTTATCACAAAAGTTAATAAATATCTATCAATTTGTTATTAGATAATAATTTAAAGTCCTTATATCTATGTATTCTGTTTTTCTAGATATTTTATATATATAAATATTCTATCAGTTAAAGATTTTTGTAACGAATTACAATTTTCTTTAGATATAACTTTTAAAGTAGTTTTTTTAACATTCTTATTGCATTCTAATTAAGTTGTAAAAGAAAAGAAAATTAAAAAGGTCGAAATCTTAATTATAATAATAATAAAAAAAGTGTGAGATAAATTTTGTTTTTGATTGAAGCGTGGACTAAACTGATAAATGTTTACTAGTGTGAAGTTCGAAGTAGATTGAGGTTTGAGATGTTTAGGTATTTGGGATGATCTAGTGAGACCAAGACAATGTGAAAATGATTATATGATTATAAAAGATACTACAACTGAGATTTTAGGGTTTTAAGTAAATTCTTACCTAAAACAAGACATCATCAATATTTATAAATTACTAATAGATTACTACGATAGCATGTGATGTCTTGTGTGTTGACCTTTTTATGATAATAAAAAAAGTTATTATAAAAAATTTTATCATTCTATTAATAAAAGAATTTAATAACAGTGATAATAATATTAATCAATGTTCGCTGAGAAGCAAAACAATAACATATTCTTTATCAACCCTTTTTTTTATCAAGGTATAATTATTTAAAATTAGTTTAATAAAGTGGGAGTTTTAATTATGTACCAAGTTTAATGTTGTAACTATTCTTATTAGAACTCATTTTTTTATGTGACTATTTTTTCAAAAGAATATGATATTCACGAATAATCATTGTCAGTAAAAAATTATTTATAATTTTTCATTCACAAAACAAAAAATAAACCTTGCAAACCTAATTTCACTCCTATTTTTCAATTTTTGATTATTAATTTAATTTTAATTCTCTGTAACAAGAATATATAATTATACATTTCTTTTGTGGACTTTAATTAAAATTTCATGATTATTATTACTCAATTGACGGATAAAGGGTATGAGTCGAATGATTTTGACTGAATATAGGGGAGGAATTTGATGTTTTGCTTGAGATGGCTTAACACGCTCTTTCTACCTTCAGCAATTGTTGCTCCCTTTCAGTGTCCCCATTTTCAGCTAAGGTATCTCTATCTGCTGAAGTTTCAAGCTTTAATTCAATGACTGCACTTACTCATAATGGGTCATCTAATCTAATTATTCACTTTCTATTTACTTCCTTTATTTATTTTTTCTGCTTCTTGTTTCATCTCTTCTCATCACTTCTTGGTATGCTGTTAATTTTATTTATGATCATGATTTTTATCATTGTTCTTGTTATATTAATTAATATTAATATGAACATGATGTAATCAAATGACTTTTCCCTTTGTCATATTTCCTGTTTCCTTTGATGGGGTTTGTTTGTTTTCCAAGAAATTTTCTAACTGGCTCTTCCTATGGTCTTCATGGTTTGATTGGTCAACTTGTGCTGAAAGGCACGTGAAGTGTCTGCAAATGAATAACGGGCAACTATTTTTCCATGACGCACGGGAAATTTTTTAATTTTTTTTGCTGCAATTTTTGTTGAGTGGGGAACCACCCTCCTTTATTGTTTGCCTCAAATGGGGTTTCTTTATTGTTGAGGAGGGGGACACTCATGCATTGTTTGTCTGATGCAGTTTAGTTCTTTCATCAAGTTGATTAGATGGGATTTACTTTCTCTTTTCGATCCTTGGCTGGTTCGGTTTCCTCCTTTGACTTTGCTACCCCAACCAAAGAAATTCAATGGATGGGTTCGGTCTTCACTGGCATCATCTTATGTGTTATTGTAAGTAAAATGAGTTTTTCATCCATTTCTCAGTGTCTTCTGTGTTGCAAATGTCTCTTATGTCTCAATGGACCAAATTAAGATTTTGAAGGCTTGATGGAGGACCAGAAAATGGAATTTCATTTTATGAACATCACAAGGAAAAGAAAATAGAGGAGGGAAGGGGGAGGTATTAGGGATATGCCTTTTCTTAAATTGAACTAAGATGGCTGATGATGCTGATGAAGATTGAATGTATAAATATAGAGTGAATTGGTATTTGACATTGACAATCATACATATTATTATCCAAAAGCTGGATCAGTTATGGTATGTGAGATTCATAGAGTAGGAATCACTACTAGTCTTTTGATACTGATACTATGTTAAGCTTAGGTTGCAATTTGAGGAGTAGACACCTTCCAAATGATGTTATTTGTTGAATAACCTGGTTTTATGTGGTGTATGGTGAAGAAGAAAAGCAAGTATTTCAATTGAATAGGAAGCGCTTGTATTCTTGTGTGTCGTGGATAAGTTGTTGGTAAAGGTTTATAGGGCAAAGTGGATAATTTTAATTTTGGGATATCCCTCGACTGAGGCTACAATTTGTGCTTTCTGGTTTGGGTAGAAACATTTCTTTTTAAGTTCTCTGCTGGCTTCTTCAGTTTAATAAATATGGTTCACTCATTATTTATTTGATATTGCTCCTAATATAGTTTTTCATGGATGATGACCCCATTCCTTTAACAACAATTCCAGAGGAAAATTGGATGCTTTATTAGTAGTCGAAAGATTTAATGCATAAATATTGTTGTCAAGGTTCAACACAACAACTGACAATTATATTTAACATTAGGGTTTGCTTTTCAGTAATTTATATTGAAATTATGATGAGTGAGTTTTGCTTCATGGCTTTCATATCCAATGGGATTTTCACTTAATAACAAACTTGAAAATGTTTTTGAAAGTAATTTCTTATTTACTATATCCTAGTCTAGGTAGAAATAAACTCTGACTATAGATCCTAAGTCTTTACACTTTTGGTTATTTGAAAGTGTAAAAAGTCTGAACCTTTAGGCTTATATACATGCATGTAGTGTTATTTCATTCCCTTTTCTCGTTGCTCTTGTTAAATATATATGTTCAGTTTTAGATGAATGGGGAAATAATGCTAAAATATTTCTGTCTAGGAGATTACTTTGTTTAACAATTAGCAATTGAATATTGATCATTTTCTCATGTCCTTCTTGAAGGTTTATAGATTGACTGCTATTTTGAGTTCTCTGTTGTTCATGGGATATGGCAAATTGAGTAGTGCAGAGAAAATTGAATGGAATAACAGGTAAATGCCTCTGTATAAAGATTCCTGTTTTTATATATTTTGTCATAATTGACTTCTTATGTTAACTTTAAGAGATTTTGCCAATGCAGGGGATTCTCAACAGTTCATGCTCTGTTTGCATCATTTTCGTCATTTTACCTTGTGATGTTATCAGATATCTTCAATAAGGATTCACAAGAAGAACTTGTTGTTAATAGATCATCCACTTTCTCAAATTCGGTACTGGGGGTATGTTGAAGACAATATAAGCTAAATTAAACTTGTGTTATTTGTCAGATGTTGATTTTAAATTCTTTTGCATTCTAATTTCTAACTATATTTGGGCTAAAATGATCATGGTGCATGTGACGGTATTGATAAAATATACAGACTGAAAAGGGAAATGTTATACTTGTTATTGTAGTATTTTCTTTTTATAATTCAATATTCATGTATCTGCCGATAATCTTCTTCAGGTACTAAATCATGCTGAAACCTAGATTTGTTAAAGTTGTAGTGCTTTTAAAATGAATCTGTTTCTTTTCTTATGGAGCATTCAGTTTTAGATTGTGTAGCGTTTATAATAAATGCAAGAGGGACAAAACATTTTTGTTGTGCTGTTTGGAAGAAAAAACCTGATGCTTGCCGCACCCATCAGTTGTGCACTATAAATATGGGAATTAGTTTCGCAAGTATTGCATGTTGGGACCCAGAGTTAGAAATGTTAATCCAACTTTTAGTTCCATATTGATTTGATGCACATGCTTGTCGGACATTCTTCATCTTAGTGTCATGTTGCTCTTTTTTAATATTCTTGTTTTTTTTTCTTTTTTCTTTTTTATAATTCTTGTCTCCCTTATTCTTATTGGTGACATTATTGTTTTGCCCTATTAAAATAATGATTGTCCTGTTAACTTATTTGCGATTGTCTTTAACACTCCTCTCTTTTTACAGATTTCTATAGGTTATTTTCTAGCAGATCTGGCAATGATTCTTCGGCATTTTCCAGCTTTAGGTGGTCTGGAATACGTAAGTTGAAAATATATTAAGTTTTCTGGCTATGTTTAATATATTAGATAATATTAGATGTTGCTGTTTTATTGCTCATTGAACTAGTCCCCAGGTTTTCTGTTTAGAAAGTGGTAAACTAACTTCATTCATTGTATTTAGGTTTTACACCACGGGCTGTCCATGTTTTCAATTATCCAATCTTTGCTAAGTGGTCAAGGACAGATCTACATCCTAATGGTTCTTTTCTCTGAGAGCACAACTCCTTTTGTAAATCTAAGATGGTAATTCTGTTGTTCAGACTTTGAATTTGTCATTTCATGCACTTCAGTCAACATTGACTTGTTACACTAATTACATGTATACAGGCACTTGGACATTGCTGGTCTTAAGAGCTCCAAACTTTACGTATGGAATGGCATTGCATTGTTCTTCGGGTGGTTGGTACTGTACAATATACTTTTGGTCTCAATTTGAATTCGAGTATAATAGTACCTGGAGGAGTTGCTTATGGTCATGTATATGTTTTGGTTCTTTTTTTTTCTAATTTTTATTTTTGCTGTTTCTGGGTGAGTTATGTATTGAGGCAAAAGGAACTAGTAGTGATGGTGATAAAGATAACCAAAAGGGTTCTGACAAAATGTATACTGCATATTGCGGGCCTAAGTAGGAGGGAAACCTTCTGGAGATGTTTTTCCTCATTCTTTTTTTAATACATATTTTTTAAATACATTCACAAATAATTTGGGTGGGATCACTTGCGCTTTAAAGGCTTCTCATAACAATCAAATTAGGTAGGTAGGTTGATTATAGTGTGTAAATATGAATATATGATGCATTTCTCATCCAGTTAAGAAATATAGGGCTCATTTGACGGTGAGGTAAGAACTAAATTTGTTAGGATAAAGGACACAGCAAGAGTAGGATAAGTACTTGTCATATTTGTTTGGTGCACCCTTGATAACCTGATAGATAGAAACATTAATGGAATGCATATGACAAAATAATCTTTGCAAAAAGTAGTGGTAGTGGTGGAGATGGTGATAATGGTAGCAATTGTAACAAGGTTATCAAACTTGAGAGTCTACGTAGATTTATGGTAGCTATGTAAACTTATAAGAGTCTTCTTCATATATATATATATATATATATATGTGTGTGTGTGTGTGTGTGTGTGTGTGTGTGTGTGTGTGTGTTTATATATATATATATATAAAAGGAATAATAAAATACCTATAAATAACAATAATCCAACACCATAATAAAGCTCAATATTAAACCACAAATTCCAAATGGAGGGTAAAAAACCATCCAACAACATAGATAGCCAAGAATTACTCAGGTGAAGAGTTACAATATAATACATCAATGAACCAGCCAATAATATAGCCAAGAAGCCTTCAACAGATTGGAACAAAATGACAAATTGAACAGAGATAACTATCAAAATGATGTTGAACTTTCACCCAATCATGAAACAGACCTAACCTTTCACCAAAATAGAGCCTTCATCAAAACAAAAGCTTTAATGCTCCACCAAGTGGCATCACAAATTGATTCATGAATGAGATAGAAAGAAATAGGAGACCCTTAATTTGAAAGAAAAGCACAATTTGTGATTGGGAGAGAAAAAACAAATCCGGGCTTGGAGGCCTTTCTTTTTAGATTGGTACTCAAAATGGAATGAGGATTCACCAAAACAGTGTTTAACCATTCGAGATGGATTGGTATTCCTCTTTGTCTTGGGAACCAAAATATTGAATCATGAACAGAGAAAGTCACCAGAGAAAAGCAAATATGTTTACTAGTCATTTGAGATCCTAATTCTTGAGAGGGGACACTAAAAGCCTCTACACTTCCATCCCTTGGATAGAAAAGGTCCTTTGGATTTGGATGAAGATGCATGATGGAATGAGGATTTGTTGGACCCTAAATACCCCCCACCCCCGCCCAAAAAAAAAAAAAAAAAAAAAAACAGCAAAATGATGTGTGTTTTGGTTAATTTTTTAACCAGAAAACTTGCCTACTTGGTTGTAAACTCACTAGTTTGCATGAGTCTGTGGAGTTTACTCTGCATCTGTGAAAACAATTTTACCTATGAGTTACCCCCCACTTATGCATGTGGACTTGTGAGTTTACAGTTTGATAACCATGGTAACAATGGTGGTAGTTGGGTGAAGGTGGAAGTTCTAGCAACGGAATAATGTCAGTTGTAGGGGGGAAATAATGATGCAATGATGGTGGTGGCGGTAGTGATGTGATGATGGTAGTGACAATGGCAATTCAGAAAGAAAGTGATAAACTATAAAGGAGGTTTTGTGTTTTATTTAACCCACCAAAAACAGAAAGAGGGAGCCTACACAGAAGCCTCCCTTAGGGTACAACTGAGCAAAGACTAATAACATAATGACAACTATTACATTTGACAACAAACAAGAGAATATACTAGAACACAAAAGAAAAAAGGAAAATGAATGTTTTTCCTATTACACATTATATTCTAATAACAATAATGACAATGATAGTGGTAATGGTGTTGTAATGATATTAGCGATAACAATGGTGATGGTAGCACAATAATGATAATAATGGTTTTGCAGTGACAACATTAATTGCAGCCATAACAACTGCGGTGTTTGTATGGTGAGATTATAATAATGGGTGGTGATGGTGGTTGTAATAGAGGCTGTCACACTAGATCAATGCTTGTGGCAATGGTTGCAATGAGAGTAATAGTAGTGGTAACAGGGGTAATAGTGTTGGTTGCAATAATTGGTGTGGTGCCAAGACAACAATTGTGGAAGTGCTAGTGGTTTGTTGAATAGGAAGTTAGGCAGATTGAGGTGACACTGAAATGGGAGTTTTTATTTGTTCCTAACCCAACTCCCCCCATTGGATAAATCTTTGAACTAATGAATAAGATAAGATTAGCAAATAGGATAAATTTGTTGTCCTGCCCTATTGACTCTAAACAATTTATTAAAAATTGAAAATAGTATATGATAAGCATATATTGTCCTATCTACTTTATTCTGACCACCATGGAAGCGCAATTTGGTCTCTTTGCCTAACACCTTACTTTTAGGATAGTTGATTCTTGGTATGAATTTAAAGTCCCTATAACCAAGTGATTTAGAGTTTGATCTACCGCATTTGTTCTTCCAAGTTAAAGTTGAATTCCAGCATTGGGTAGTTGATTGCCTACTGCATCGTCCACAGATGGGCTATTACTTGAAGGAGACATGTTAGAGATATAAAGCCTACTTATTTACTTTCATTTATCTGCTAAGGTCTTTTTGTTGTATTTTGCTATCTCCATTTGCATAGATTCCTGTGTGAAAAAAAAAAACATTTCAATGCTCCGATTTCTCAAAGTAAAATTTGTTTACTTCATCCATGACTCTGTTTGATCCCCAATAGAAAAAGGCTGTCATTTGTAAGCAGCAAAGAGTTCAACTTTTGTTCTGATCTGTTTCTTATTCCAATGATTGTAATGATGGAAGTGTGGAACAAGTTTACTTGGTGGTTCTAAATACAGATATTGGCTTACTTTATCCCTTTATATTTCTTGTGCTGCAGATTGCAAGGATTTTCCTATTTATTTTCTTTTTTATCCATATGTGGACCAATTTTGATGAGGCAAGCGTTTTCTCTGTATTCCCCATCACGTATAACTTCATAGTTCCCCTTTTTGATTATAATATAGGAAATAATATCAAATGTTTTGCTATCAAATTTCAGGTCAAAGAGATCTTCCCGTTGGGTTTTTACAGCTTGCTTGTGGTGCCTCCTGTATTGACAATGATGAATTTGTTTTGGTTTTGGAAGATTGCCAAGGGTTTGGTCAAAACTCTTTCAAAAGCAAAACATAGCAAGTGAGCCTACAAAATGGCCATTGAATTGTTTATTACAGTTGTGATTAACCTTTTTTTTTTTTTTTCACTTATCGTACTAAAAAGATTCAGTACAGTTGTATGCTGTATATTTGCCATTAAGGAATTGCATATATTGGTCAGTGATTACATACGTGTATTCTGAATCAGTAAAGAAAGTTAATACCACAAAGATATATCTGTCATCTTTCGTACCTTCTCATTAACCATTATGACTACCATTGGATGAATACAAGCTTCAGCTCCATTCCTATACTGTTTATTATCTACAAACATGGCATGAGGATATGGTAAGGCCATTGCATTAGCCTAATACTTGGTGCCTTGAAAAGTTTATCATTTCTTGGTAAGAAGGCTAAGTGAAAGTTCAGTGTATTCTCAAGTGCTTGATTGACCTACTTTGAGAAATCAATTTAATCATGATACTATCTTTGAAAAGTGAAGATCTGAAGGGGGTTAGCATTTCCCAGAATGATCTTTTCAGCCAAACGGTAAAGTGCTTGATTGGGTTTTAAAGCTCACAAACTTGATTTTGGAGTAGCTCTTCATTTTACAAACTGAGTCTACAAACGGAACCAAGTCTTCCTTGTACGGAAACTTAATTTCAGGCACAATATAAGTGTGAATGTTCTTTTATAATTAACTAAGTATGTCATAAAAACAAATGTATACAACTCTCTTAGTGATAAATAAATAAATATACATATATTATATTTAATACATTCATGTTTATATTTTTGGAAGACCTTGCAATCAAAGAGTTGTGCCTGTCATACCTTAAAATCACCCAAGTTATCTCACAACACAACTATCATAGCCTTAAACAAAGACATTTAAGCGACCAATGTTGTTTCAATGAAAGTAAGACTCAGACCATATTCTCTCATTTGGGAATCTGATTGCTGAAGCAATGAATAATAACTTGAGTTAGGAGTCCTAAGACCTCATTTTCGCTTTAATAACCACATGGTTGTTTGAATTAAATAAGTAAAAAAACAATTTTTCACAAAACATGTTAACGTTTAAAATTGTGTCCTACACTCATTTGAAATATTTTTCATTTCAACGTCCTCGTTCTAACAATTTTGATCACTTGAGTAAAAATTCGACGTTTTCACACGTTTCACTTGAAAAACAAATCTTCTATTGAATTATACATTTAATCTAATTTCAATTTCACAAATTAACCAAAATTTTATTCAAAACTATAAATCTTGTCTAATTTCGATTTCACCAATTAAGCAAATTTTCTTATTCTTGCATATTTCTAATTCATAACTATTATGATTGTAATTTATAATAATTTCACTTTTACCAATTTTAGATTCATCTCACAGTTCAAGGTATTTGCATACTTATTCAATTTAATCCAGAATGAAAATTTAATATTATTCACGAATCAATATGCTACATTAAGGCTCATGGATCTCATAATTTTAATAATTATGACTAAGTCACATTCATAATACACTTAGGATTTCTAACCAAGAGTAATATAATCAAGTTAAAACATATTAACTTTCCTTACTTATTAAGCTAATTAAATCACAACTTCAACAAGTGAAATTCAATTTAGAAAGTCCATACCTCTTAACATAAAACATAATCAACAAATTCAACATAACACTAAAATATTATCTTTACTAAAAAAAATTATATTGAACAATTACCGATTACCCATCCTATCCAAACTTCATTAAAGTTTTAGATTTTTAGGAAAAAAAAGTTATAATTTTAGAAAGATGATATTTGTTATTAAATGAAATTAAATAATTAAATTTTATTATTTATAGTATTTTATTTAATTTATAAAACATATATTCTTCATCTAATTAAATTATTTTTTTAACTAATAAACCCAGTTTCTGACTTTCTTCTAAAGGTATAATGATATTCTCGTTCCTTTGAAGTGTATATATTTTTTAATTAATTATTAAATAAAGTATTTATAAATTTTTTTAATCTTTCATGATTATCTTTTCTTAAATAAAGTATTAATATATAATTGAATTATAGATGATAAAATATAAGAATTTACATGAAAGTAAAAGATAAAATTATATTTTCATTTATTTCTATTTTAAGTTTAAATTAATATCTTCATTCATATTCAAGAATGAAATTTTTCATTCTACCTAAGTTTGAAAATAAGAGTGTAAACGTATTCAAAGTCAATTTGCAGTGGAGAAAATGCATGGAAATAATCCAACGTCTGTCGTACACAAGAAGACGCGTTGTAAACAGATATTGGAATATGGATCTGCATTCCGACCACCAAAAGAATTTTTTTTATTTCTTCATAACTGCATCTAGTAAATTATTTCAATAATCAATTATATATATGTATAATTAATTAATGTTTTATTATAACTAATATAAGTTTTTTTTTATAGATTTACTGACAATTAATTTGGACATAAATAATTTCATTTAGATGAAACAAGAAGATCAACTTTCTCAGAGGAATAAAAATTGTTTAGGGTGTTCGGTTTAAGATTTAGGTTAGTTTAAGGAAAATATTATTTATAAAAAATATATGAAAATTTAGGTGGATTACAAACCATTATAAATACTATTAATATTAATTTAATTAATTGTTTCTTACTGTCCCCTGTAAAAAAATAAACATATAAATGCAATTTTTTTTGGTGGATCCACGTTCGTCGTTTGTCTTCATGTTTCAACTTTTGGTTAATACATGCACACCAAAATAGTTACATATGACACCAAAATTTAGTTTGACACGGTGTCAAATAATTTAACTAATTAAAAATAAAATTATATCATAATATAAAACATTTTTATGACAAATATAAATGTAAATAGTTTGATGCATGAATTAATTAGAAATTGAGCAGTGAGGTCCACCACCACTGTATGGAAAGTTGAATTTGTTGCATATTTGACCTGAGAGCCCTTAGCCATTAAGACCCCCCCCTCCCAATTTCAATGAATCTTTAATGATTTTGAGAAGTGTTTGGTGATAAATAAATGGACTAAGGGAACATTCAATTGCTACTAAACCCTAATCCCTATGCAAGAGTAACTGTGAGTAACACATAATGCATCTGGGAACCCAAGAAGAAGATGAACAAAATCTTTAGCTTTACCTTCTTTCAAAGCCTGTGTAAATTACCTACAATGCCCTCTATTTCATTCACAGCTCAAACATTTTTAAAATGTGTGGTTTTGTGAATAACTATGTATAGTTTCAACATTTCAACTAGTAATATTTTCCTACATATACAGAAAAAAACAACTATTACTTTTTTACTTAAATATAAATTAACTTTTATACTGATGATTTTGATCTCAAAAATAGTTTTTAAGATTATTTTTTGGTGGATAAACAGAATTTTAGTATAAAAATACAAAAATCTTATTATATGGGCATTTATCTCTCCTGAACCCTTTGGATGATGAATGGTCGGTCACCACTGACGCAACACACAAAAAAGACATTGAAGTCCGAGTAAATGGTGTGTGCGACGATGTCAATCCAAACTCCTGGGACCCACACAGCTCTTTCTGACTCGTCAACCCCACCCTTACACCTTTCGCCGTCAATAACCGTTACGTACCGTTGTTCACAATGACGTTCACACCAAATGTAACGGATTACTCGTACGTGCTAACTCCGTCAACCTCCACCTTCTCTGCTCTTTGCTTGCCTTCTCCAATCTGTTTCGCCTCCTCTTTCTTTTCTCCCTCCTCGCTTCAAGGTAAAATCTTTTTAACGAAAGTAACCAGATGCACACGCAAAGATTCTTTTTCTCTCTCTTAGTGTTTTATATTCAAGTACAGTCTATAACGTTTGCCAGCCCTTTTTTGGAAGTTGCTACTTTTGAGCCATGATTTTATCGACCAATATGTTTGGAATGTTTCAGATGAGAAGGGAGAGGATGGGTGTTGATTTGCAGGGTGGTAACTTTACTGGGCAGTGTTGATATTGGTGATGCTGGTGTTTTCCCCGTAAAGTTTCAATTTTGTATTTATTTTTTTATTTATCGTATATCTGGGTTCTGAAAATATGTGGGGTAGGTGGTGGTGTTGTGCTGGTGGTGGTTTTCTGAGGCAAAGGGTATCTGCAATTGGTAGTGTTAGCCATGGTTATGGGCAAAAACTTCATCCTTTTGATCCTCCTTTGTTGGGTTTGAGGGGTGTTGTGGAAATGATGTACGGTGGAAGAAGGGGTGGTGGGGTGGCATCTTTATCTGTTTTGTTGAACCAAATCAAGAGGGGTGTATCAACTTCAACTGGGGGTGGTGGTTTCAGCAATGGTAATGGAAGAGAAGATTCGATATCATTCTCTGAAGCAAAGAAGCTCATGAGGTTGGTGAATGTGGAGTCCCTCAAGATGAAGCTTGGTGTGGAAGGGAAGGAAGTTATTTGCTATTCTGAGCTTCTTGAGGCGTGTGAGAGCATGGGAATTGCTAGGAGTCCTGAGGAGGCTGCAGCATTTGCCAGAGTTCTTGATGAGGCTGGGGTTGTTCTCCTCTTCCGGGACAAAGTGTATTTGCATCCTGATAAGGTGAGATTTTGTGATTGATTTGAATTGTTTATGTTTATGCTGGCATAAGAACGTAGTTTGTGTTTATGGGGCTCACAGAAAGCATGGCCGGATCTAAGTATATTACTGTATATATACATACCATAGGTGTAATAGATGTCAACTATTGCTCCTTTTCCTTCTTGATAGTGTGTGAGGGTCCTCCCTGACCCATATGTTACATCCACCCTTTTAGCCTGTAGGTCACTGTCGGGTGTTTGATTGCGAATCTTCAGTTTATCATGCATATACACTTTAGCACTCTCCCTATTCAACCTTTGGCTTAACTCCATGGTGGATGGGATGATTTTATTTTCATCTATCAATTAAAGATTCATACATGAATTTCCTTGCTTTCATGCTTTGTGGTGTCCCTTTCTCTTTTGTTGTAATAGTAGGTAGTAGAGCTGATAAAATCTTGAGGTACAGTTTTCTTTCTGAACTAGAGAGGAGAATAAAGTGAGTTTAGAAACTTTAAGAACATTGGCTTTAAAGACCTCTACAGCTCCAAATTATTTCATTGCATCCTCTCTTTTCATTGTGCTTGTCCTGTCACGATAAAGATATCGACAAGAATGAAAATACTGTGTTCACAAACTTTCTGTTTGTCATTCCTCCTTCGTTGCTTTGATTACTAATGGCAGAATAGACATGTCCTGCCTCCATAGATAGAGACCTTACAAATTATAATGGATTCTGCAAGCACAAGGTTGCTAATGAAACAAAATATGTGGTAGTGTTCATGAACATTTCCTACATTGTTAAGTATAGCTAATTAGTTATGTTTCAAGCTGTTTGTCATGGCTTATATGATCAGACAACTTCTGTTGCTGAAATGAACTTCTTCAGGAAACAGTTTTGAGAAAAACATTAGAGAATGTAATATGCACAATTCAATTAATGGCAATGTTCTGTGCCTCAGGTGGTGGATCTGGTTCGAAGAGCCGTTCCTCTGGCACTGATGGCTGACAACGATCCTACGAGGGAGGAGTTGAAGATCCTGCAGGAGAAGAAAGAGGAAATTGATGTGCTGGCGCATAAGCAGGTGCGGCGCATCCTCTGGTCTGGACTAGGATTCAGCATAGTTACAGTTAGTCTCTTCTTCAGGCTAACATTCTGGGAATTTTCATGGGATGTGATGGAACCAATTGCATTTTTTACCACAACCACAGGGTTGGTCATAGGCTATGCATACTTTTTGTTTACATCAAGAGACCCTACATACCAAGACTTGATGAAGAGGCTGTTTCTTTCAAGGCAGAAGAAGCTTTTCAAGAGCCATAATTTTGACATAGAGAGATTCAAGGAGCTCCAGTGCAAGTGCAAAACACCTTTGCATGCCAGTGCTGTTTTAAAAAATCGCATAGGGGTGGAAGTGGATCTTGAAGACGCTTTACATAGAGATTAACATTTTCAGGAGTATTTACAATTCTTTTTAAAGATATATATATATATATATATATATATATATATATATATATATATATATATATATATATTATAGTTAACCTTGTTCCCCTTGTTTTAGTGTTGGTGGGGAGAGATTAAACTAACTATACTTTTGGCTTCTTGGATACACACATTTGCCTCATTTTCTTAACAATGCATGCATGAAGATTATGTTCTGTTCCATTGCTTCATGGCACGTTATTATTCTGAGTCAGAGTCATGCGTGAGGGATCTTTCACAGTTGCAACCTACTTGTATGAAACTAAATCCTTTATATATATATATATATATATATATATATATATATATATATATATATATATATATATATATATATAATTTTTTAATTGACATGTATTAGACATTTCTTTTTATTACATTGTATTTTTTATGAACTTTTTTTTTCTATTGAGTGTGTATAAATATTTTCCTTAAAATTTATTTGATTCATTACAACTTTTTTTAAGTATTTTATGTTAAATGCGTTTAACTTATTTCAATGTTTTATGCTTAAATTGTAATATTGGTTCTCATGATAAAAGTTTAAAATAACCATTTAAAATTATTTAGTTAAAATTTTAATCCATATGATATAATTATTAATTGATTTGACTAAATTATAACTTTGATCATATATATATTTTCGGTGATTTAATTTTTATATTTATAATTTTGATTCCTCAAATTTCTGTAGGCATAATTTCTTTTTATTTTGCACCACTTAAATAATAAATTTCACATATTCATTTAAAATATCATAAGTAATTAAATTAATAAAAAAAATACAAAAATAACAAAATTGAAACGGGTAATAATGTGGAAAAGTATAAATAACAACTCAAAATTACATTAAGTACTAATAAAAGTCCAAAATTATAATTTAGGTTATATATTTAAAATGCAATGGAAGTCATTTTATAATATTTTTCTTTAAAAAATTACATAAACTAATGAATACATTTCATCATATTTCTGTTTATTATCCGATGGAATTCTGAAGCAAGACTTGATAGGAATAATTACAAAATTATTAGAACAAAATTCGAACAATTAAAACGGGGGATCAAAGGTATAGGATAAACTATGAATCTAAAGTAATAAAGCAAAAAACAGTCTTTACCCTTACGCAGCTTAGAGTGTTACGAAATGAATTGTATGTGCAAATATTATCATTTCTCAAGGAAGATAACACTATAGTGAAAATGCAGTGCACCATAGAGAGAAACTGTTTTATATAAGCGTGATGAAAACGGATGCATAAACTTTGTTACATGACCCTATACACGTTCCCTTTCCTATATATTGAAAAGTCACACTCTAGGCAATTTATCAGTTCAACAACAGAAGCTTCATTGGATCCATTGAAGTGTTCCAAGATATCGCTCAAAGTTGCCTGAAACCAGTAAACAACACATTTTCTTACAATTATAGTCACAAAGTAAAGGAATATATATACATATCAGAAAGTTTTGTCAGAATCGTAACAATCTCCACTTACCCCTTCATCAAGGATCTTCAACCACTCTAGAACAGAACTCTCTGTAGCCTTCAATTTAGTAGAATTCACTTCCTTTGTTTCAGTGACCTTTTGTCGTTTTCTTGTGAATTCCCCTTCACTGGCAAATGAAAGCTTCTGTACCTCAGAACTGTTGACAGGTAAAGATGGTACCTTATCAATTTCTAAGTCGCATTGTTCAGCTGAACTTTTGGCAGTAACGTCATCTTCACAATGTCTCTCCACAGGGCATGTTTCTAACGTAGAGTCTGACAAATTTGAAGCATTGTGTGCAAGTTCATCATAGTTCCCAGTCTGGTTATTACCACAATTTCGCATCGACAAATAAGTCTTGATGTGCTGATAACTTATCTGCACCATAACAAATTATTCAATCCCCATTTCAATGAAGTAATAAGCAGTTCACCAGCCTGAGGTTACATGTGATACTTAAGCTCTCCTTGTTCAGGTTAAGGACTTAAGCTCCATTTGTTTAATGGAAATTACCTTCCAATGTTGTCAGGGTTTTGGGGCACTTCCATTTCAGTGGTTAATGAGTAATATTAACAAATTACAACTTAAAAAGAACTTCACATGAGAGAAAAAATAGTGTCTCGTAGGTAAAATCTTTTGAAATCGGGCTACACAAGTCAAGCCATCATCTACAAATTCTTTCTACACTAAGCTATTGCTGACCTTGTCTATTGACTGTTATGTACTCTGATTGATCAATTGGTAACCATATCATCAAGAGTGAGGCAAATTCTAAAAAAGCAAAACCAGATCTACAAGTTCGACTAATTTTCAGGAAATAAAACAAGCAAACCTAAAAATCCTACAGTTGTCACCAAGAATGACAGAGCAGTAGCATGAAATATATTGAACCATATATTTGCATCAAATCCAATATGTACTCAAATTACGAAGGTAGGAAATTTGAACCCACATGTTCAGGCAATTCATTTTTTATAGGCTTCAGCTTGTCTGTAGATCCAACTTTTGAAATAGCACCCTGAATTTGTGATATGATCTCTTGTGTCAGGCCTATCATCTTGCTGAATCTAGCCCAATCAAAAGGTAATCCTTCTTGAGCAGCTTCCAGCAGATATTCTGCAACAGTTTGTTCTTTTATAGGAACCGATCTACTTGGAAAGTTCTGAGATTATGGAGAGGAGTCAGCAAAGAAAGTAATTATACAGTGAAACATGTGACGAATAGATTTTCTTACGTAAGAACAGACTTGTATGACATACAACAATTTCATGATGTTATACAGGAAATTGTGAAGCATAGATCTTTATTAGTAACAGCAGATGCGAATGACATACAGCAATTTCATGAATAGAATGACCATCTTCATGCCACATTTTCCATGCTTCAAACTTTGCTGATGTCAACTTCTTGGATTTGTTGGTTATTGGAGATACTTTCTTTACTTCATTAGTTTGCGAACTTGCCGTTGAGACCCTTTCTTTTCCATCCAATGATAGATTTAATCCTTGTGACAGTTTCTGAATAACTTGAAGAAAATGATCTCCATATTTCGTCACTAGGTGCTGTGTAAAGTTTATTGAAGTTAGTATTCAGGTGACAGAAAGGTATAAAATAAAAATGGGTTCAGTTATCTAACGACATGTTTACAGGCCAAACAAATTTGACAAAGCAGCATGGTCTGATATGTGATTAGTGATCATTGCAAGCTAAGCTATTGTCAAGAGATTGGTTATTCAGAGGAATAACTCGTTCACACTGCATGCTACAATACAATACTTTCTCCCCCTGATTCTAGCAAGCCATTTCATCCTTGAGATAAACCTTGGCAATTGGGTGATTTCTCCATTCACGTGATTTCTGCTAAGAATTTTATGTTTACTAAATCCGAAAAGGAAATTAATAAATAATTTATGTTTACTAAAGCCATTTTGATGACTTTTGCGATTACTAAACTAACTCCACTGCCATTCATCTCGTTTCTGCTTATTCTTACTTATTCTTCTCGAAACAGTACGGCCGGTCCAGTTTACAGACATCTTCAAAACATTGAAGGGATACCTGATTTACACCATCAATGTTTGCTAGTCTTGCTTTTGTTGATGGTCTTGTCAAGGCAATTTTCTTGATCGTTTGATCACCACAAATAGCATATCTACAAAGACAGTATAACAGCTTTATCATGAAACTATGGATAAAAGAAACTAAAAGAATTAATATCCTTCAAAATGTTAGAAAATTAAAAAACTGTACGGAGCTGTTCCAACACTTCGTGCAAGCTCAAATCTTTCTTCCAAAAGCAGTTGGTGGAGCTTTTTCTCAGCCTGAGTAGAGAAGTAAAGCGCAAAGATTTACAATTAAAAAAATATATATAATGTCTCTTATAAACAAACCAAATTGAAAGCAATAAGATTGCTGTTTAACTTTTTATCTTTCTAGGATACATTGTTTATTTATCTTGCATCTACATATAATTGTCAACCACTAATTCAAGAAGCTTCATTCATGATTAGAAGAAAAGGAAAGAGAGAAAAGACATTGAGTAAAGACAAAATAAATGCACTTAATTACCAACCTCTGAAAAACCTTCTAACTCTGAAGTGGATAAAGTTTTGAAATCTTCTTGTGTGTTTCCATTATCTTCTTCTCCAAGCATTTCAGCAGTCAATGTCAAAACCAGAGGAGGTTGATAATCTGGTCTAGAAGAGGCCAAAAATTGCTCTCCTTTAGAACTGACACTGATTCATGAAGAACAAATTTAATAAATTTTCCGTCTAATAATAGCTTCAGCTGCAAAACACACTAAAACACTAAGAAACTCAAAAGTTGCATGATAGATGTGTTGACATTTTTAATTCCTCAATTATGAAAATTTATAATAGAAGTAGGATGCCCAATTAGAGATGTCTGGCTCTATTAACAGACTGGGGGATGGGGCAGATAAAGGAAATAAACAATTAATAGTCGTTTCGGGGAGAATAAACAGGGGGTTAGGAGGGGAAAGGACAGTTTTTGGAATGTTAGAATCGTGTAAGAGGGGCAGGACTCTTGAAATCCTCGTGATAATTCTCTGTAAATTTTTCCTCCTTCACGACTCATTGTTTTTGTGCAATTAATATTCTTTTCTTTCTACTTTCTGGGAACAGATTAGTAGCATACAGAGACTTCAAATAACTACTGCAATCCACCAAACAACTTGAAGAATCTACCTTATAGTTCTGTATACGTCCGTAAGAGTCTCCTTCAAATAACCTGTAGAACAATTTGACTCGATTATAAATTGCATCTAACAATTTCTTCTTATTGAATGTATGTATAAAATAAAAGGTTGTCCTTTTTTACGTAACTTGTGAAGGATGTCATATGTAAAATATACTGCAGCAAGAAATAAACTTAAGTACCAAATAATAACAGGATATGTATGAACAGTTGATTGTGTTTGAAAACAGAAACAAATGCCGTTTATCTTTCAA